TGCTGCGGCGCCCGGGGAGCAGTTGGGGGTTCGGTGCCTTGCTCAAGGGCACCTCAGTCGTGTTGAAGGTGGGAGAGAGCGCTGTACATTCACTCCCACCTACAATCCCTGCCGGTACGAGACTCGAACCCACAACCTTTGGGTTATGAGTCCGACTCTCTAACCATTAGGCCACGACTTCCCCCAGTGTGTGTCTAATAATAAAAAAACATTGTACGTTACTAATTATAACTCTTTCATTTCCACAGTTATTCAAACAGCGAATGAATGAAAGCAGAAAGCGAGCAAAGACAAGAGCACTCTCAATTAGAAATTAATTTCTTAGGCCTACTTACATCGTATGTACTGCACTTTGTTGTTTATAGTGAGAGAATCGCAAGAGTGCAGAAGAAAAATGGCGTTTCAGCGATGACTCATCTGAACGCCTCTGATTGGCCATTGCATACAAAGCGCAACAGAATCACGTGATTGGTTATAGCGTCCAACGCGGTACAAACGCATAAATAGAAATATGATGCAATATAAGCAGATCTTAATTTAATGCCACAAAAGACACTTTTCATTTCATTTTCAATTTATTTACAGTCAGCCATGATAGATTTAGTTTAATTGTGCATGGGGCAAATTTGGCCCATGTCCCCGTTAATTTCCCACCCCTGGCCAGGCGCCTGTCTTTCACTCCGCTTTGATTCTTTCTGCAAATTACGTCGTTCCGCCAATAGGCGGCGACAAGCGACTGTCTCTCATTTCATGAGTCATTTGAATCGTTTACACAACCGAATCATTCCAAACTACCGATTTATTCAGAAGCATAATTACCGTGTGGAAAAACCCAAATTTGCCACTTTCACTTATTTATCCGAATATTAGCGGTGACGAATCACCCTCATTTACAGCTCTGTTTTGGACAATAGCTACGTCAATTTTATTAAAGACTTGAAAATATTATGGTTATTTTGAACCCCTTTATGAAGACTTGGGGTACCGAAACAACAATTCTGAAATTCTGAAACCTAAACAATTGGCTATATGTTGAGGAAACATAAATATTCTTACTGATGGTTACTGATGATTTTGGATCTCCCTCTGGAGGAACACGCAGTACACATGCGCGTAGTACAAACGCCTGACTGAGTAGTGTGACATATACTACGCGCATGCGCAGTGCCGTCGGCGTTTCGGGGGGCGTTGCTGGCGTGCGGCAGAGGGGCGGGGCGAAGGTGGGTGTGTGGCTCAGCTGATACTGACTATCATCATTATCATCCTCCTCCTCATCATCATCATCATCCGAGACCTGCTCCTGACAAGATACACGCCGCTCGGTTTTATGGACGCGACGCGACCGGCTCGGTGAATGAACGCGGCTGACGCGACGCGCGTCGCTGTCCGCGGTGCTGAAACAGTGAGTACGATCGCAGTCATGTGGATTTCATACGCGAAACGACAGCGCTGTCGAATTGTGAAGCGACTGATTATAGAAGAATAGAGAGAGAGAGAGAGAAGCTCCACTATCACTGCGACTCACTCGACTGGAAGTAAACCAATGAACGGATCTCCATTCTCTCTCGCAGATAAAGCAGCGAGGACGCATTATGTAATGCACTGATAGTGGGAAGGAGGGAAAAAACAACCCATCTCCTGGTTTCCATCTTCATGGTGCGTCTTTGTTTGTGTGGAGAGCAGAAAATGGAGAGTGTATCTATATTAAAACGCAGTGTTTTGATGCTCAAAGGGATCCGCGCTTTCAGAAGGTGCTGCAGATCTCCATTCAGATGTTGGATAACAACAGCGCATGCAATCTTTTGTGCAGACGCACAGGCTCAGGGTTTGGAGAGAGTTGGTCATCTGAGGTTTCAGATGATTGTGCAACTTGTTGTGCATTCGTTTGCGTGAAGGTTAGTGGCCTTGTGGAGCCAATAAAAGTTTAACTATATCTTACCTTACACACAAAGCCACACACACACTCACCTCGTGGCCCATAACAAGCCGAGGTGCCAATGCAAATGTGTGTGAGATGTGCAAGTGCGAGAACAGATGAGGTAATGGCAAAGCACTGGAGTGTGAACCCTCTGTTGGCCGCGCATGGTGCTGCAGCTCGTTGTGAGATCAAACAGCTTCAGTCTTTCATGGTGTGTTTTCATGCACATGGATGTCACGTTACCGGTGTCAAACACAAGCTTGGATCAATCTGGCTGCTGCTCACATGATGCTGATGCTTGCATACGGTCGCTGTAACACAGTTAGGTTTGGTTTTAGTAAGTGCATTTGTTTATGTTGGGGATCATGCACAAATTCACAACTGTTAATGCACTGAAGCTCTCCATTGTTTTGCTGATGTCTCACCTACATCTCTTAAACCTTTCTAAGCAATGTGCGATGCTACTGCCTGTGTTTTTGAATATAAAGTTGATAATCAAATAATTCCTATTACTATCAGACTACTTGCATATTTGTGCACTACTATTTAAGGTTTGGGGTTGATAGGAGCTTTCAATAGTTCTGAAAGAATTCTCTTCTGCTGACAAAGGCTTCATTTGTTTTATCAAATCTGTAATATTGTGAAATACTATTACAGCTTCAAAAACTGTTTTCTATGTGTATATATTGTAAAATGTAATTTATTCCTGTGATCAAATCTGAATTTTCAGCATCAATAGAAATAGGGTTAGTAAGACTTAAAAATAAAAAAGAATAAAATTGATATTTATATTCAGAAAATATGCATTAAATTGATCAAAAGTGAGAGTAAAGACATTTATAATGTTGCAAAAGATTTCTATTCCAAATAAATGCTGAAAAATAAAATGTATCACAGTTTCAACAAAAATATTGTGCTGCACAACTGTTTTCAACATTGATAATAATCAGAAATGTTTCTCGAGCAGCAAATCAGCATATTAGAATGATTTCTGAAGATCATGTGACACTGAAGACTGGAGTAATGATGCTGAAAATACAGCTTTGATCACAGAAATAAATTACAGTTTAACAGATATTCACATAGAAAACAGCTGTTTTAAACTGTAATAATATTTCACATTTTGTACTGTATTTTTAATCAAATAAATGCTGCCTTGGTGAGCAGAAGAGACTTCTTTCAAAAACATTAATTCAAAAATATCTTACCAACCCCAAACCTTTGAACACTACTAGTGTACAAATATGCAAGTAGTTTGATCCTAAATTAATCAGAAGTGACAGTGAAGACATTTATAATGTTACAAAAGATTTCTGTTTCAAATAAATGCTCTTCTTTTGAACTTTCTATTCATCTGTGAATCCTGGAAAATAAAATGTATCACAGTTTCCACAAAAATATGAAGCAGCACAACTGTTTTCAACATCGCTAATGTTGAAAATCAGCGTATTATTGATGATTCCTGAAGCATCGTGTTTATTTTTCACAATTCTTTGATGAGTAAGTTCAAAATAACAGCATTTATTTGAAATAGAATCTTCTGGTTTCACAGACAGGGCTTAGACTAAGCCAGGATTAGGCTCAATTAGGACATTTAAGACAATTTTTGTCTTAGAACAAAAACATTACTGGTGTGCATCTTGAGACAAAACAAAGGCACTGATGTATTTTAAGATCAGATTCAGATAATCTCTTCACAATCAGGCCCCACAGTACTTAACTGATCTGTTACAGCCTTAAACTCCGCCGAGATCACTCAGATCTACTAATTCTGATCTGTTGCAAGTGCCTAGAACAAGACTAAAAACCAGAGGTGACCGTGCTTTTTCTGTTGTTGGCCCAAAACTATTAAATAGTCTCCCGTCTCGCATCAGAACGGCCCCGACCTTGTCTGTTTTTAAGACCTATATATTTTCTTTGGCATTTAATATCCCTTGACTCTGTTCTTAGGAACTTCGGCCCATGTTTACAGGTTTATTGTGTTTTATAATTGCATTTTTTGTTGCTGTGTGTTTTAATTGGTCATTGTTTGTATAGTGTTGTAAAGCACTTTGGTCAACTTCGGTTGCTTTTAAATTGTGCTACATAAATAATAGGAGGGTGAGTGTAACGGAGGCCAGCGGTAGGTGCTGTGCAGGTAAACCTCACTCCATTGATCTCAAGAGACATGCTAGAGGCTGCAGTCTTTAGCCTCCTTGTTAGTGCATCTGCCTCCCACGCCGGAGACCCAGGTTTGAGACCCACTCTGAACAAGTACGAGGTGTGGCGGTGAGGCGGTGAGGACCCGGGAGAGAGGGGTTAAACTAACACACTATATTCATTTGGCACAATTTTCCAAACCATTCATACAGTTCTCGAAACAAAGACACGTTTCTCAAAACTTTTAACACATTTCACCTGCTTTCACTCATGCTCCAATTTGCTCAGTGTTTTCTGCAAAACTCTACACAAGAACGGCATAATTTTGCACAGGTTTAACCATGTTCTCATTATTTAGAAAGCACAAACACACAATATATAACTACCACAAGAATCACAAAATGAACACAAATAGCACACATTTATCCCTGTGTGAACATTAAGTACACATCACAATTACAGTGCATTGTAGCAGTAATTCAGACGAGAGAACTTTCACTGTTCTTTGTACTGTAAATACTGTAACACACAGCCTCAAACTCATAACTGTTGAATTGATTTGTAGCCATACTGTATTTGTGCAGAACTGAGAGTCGACTATCTAGGGGAGGCATAGAAAGTCTTTTGTCAGAAGACTAAGAAACTGCTATAGTATAACAAATAAGGATATTACCAATACTGTAATGCAGCTTGGCAGAGGATGCTGTATTTATTTATTTACAGTAACTGACAGTACAGTTTATTCCAATGTGTGTTTACTGTATATTCAGTTGTTTGGTTTTTGAACTGTTCACTTCTAGTGCTTTTCATCTACTTTACAGTAGTTTACTGTAATGAAAGTAAAGTTTATTGCTGAATTTTACTGTATCTGCACCGCTCTATTTATGCTGCATACTGTAACAAAAGGAATTCTGTTTCCCAAAAGTAGGTTTTTGTAACAGTGTTTTGAACTGACCCCACTAGTGTTCTCTAGGCAGGAAAATAGTCTGTGTGTGTGTCATCTGAGGCCAAAGAGAGAATGTGTTTTTGACTAAAATGTTTGATTTTGACCTGGAAGTTTGAAGCTTGCACAAGTTGGTGTGTAGTTTTAAGATTCTGTTTAGAGTTATACTAAATGGTGAATTGTTAGTTAGTTTAGTTTATTGTCCTTTCGGAATTTTTTTTGTATCTGTGGCAACTCTTCAGTGATCAACAACAATAATTAACAAATACAAACATCAACAGGTTACAAGACATTACAAATAAATACAACCAGCATCAAACAACATCCACAGAATCTGTGATATCACAAAAATGTATTTAACTGAGCTATACTGCAGTCCGTAATAATGTACCCTGTACCTTCAACCAGATGGTAATAACTCATATTCACCACAAAGAGGATGAGATGCATCATGAAGAATTGCATGGCTTTTCCTCACAGCTCGAAATTCACATAGTTTTATCAAACTAGGCTGTTGTTTACCTGCAATCTTACTAGCCATATTAACAATTTTATTTAGATTGTTTCATGAATTGTATGTTAGCAATCGAGAAAAGCTGTAATATGCATGAATCTCCATCCTCTGCTCTGACTGCAGTGTGTGTCTGGAGGTCGGGCAGCTGCGAAGGCCCATGCGGAGGCTCGCAGCGCTGAGTGACGCACTGGTTCCCCAGCATGGGCAGTGTAGGCAGCGGAGTGGCTGGTGAGCAGGAGTTTGCCATGAAGAGCGTGGGCACTCGCACCACTCTCCCTCGTGGCCCTCCTCTGTCCCGTCTCCACGCACCTCCCTCCGCCTCGGACGGCCCCAGCGACAGCACAGCCACGGATCGAGGCCAACTCAACATCGCCTCGTCTCGGCCCAGCCACCGGGACAAGGCCGCACACAGAACCGGAGGAGTGTCTCTGGATGCTTGCGGTAACGTGGTGGGTCACGGCGCGGAGAAGAACCACGAGGTAAAGGGCAGAGACGGGAACAACAGCAAGAGAGACAGTCGCACGCCACCCAAGATCCTCACTGTGTCCGGCAAACTCGAGCAGGTACGACTGACGCAGCTCTGCTAATGTTACTGCATTAAAGGGTTCACATAACTTTTACATGTTATGTGAACTAAAATGTGTGTTGGCAGTGTGTGTACACAACCACCCCATAAAAGGGTACCAGCTTTTTAATTACCAACTTTTAAGTTCAGATGGGGGGTTCGATCTCGATTCAATATCAATTCATATGTATAAACTGTACATATAAGGGGATAAAATCTTTTGTTGAATGCAGATGAATGCCTTTTTTAGCACCTTTTAAACTTGGGTTAAATTCAGTATTTGCTTGCAAATCATTGTGTGTACTTATACGAGTATCGTTTAAAAAAGAATGTAACTTATTCACTTTTACAATTTTTACATTTAAGCATTACTAATGAACATGATTTTTTTTCCGACAACAAAATGACTCTAATTTACACCTTTGCATTGGAATTTAAAACCCTTTTCTCTGTTTTAATCTTAAATACTACACTAATTGTAATATAAGTAATAGAAATATCAGAAAAACATATTTTATCTAGACAGACAGATAGATAGGTAGATAGACAGACAGATAGACAGATAGATAGATAGACAGACAGACAGACAGACAGATTATCGGCCCCAAAAAACCCATATCGGTCGGGCTCTATAATCTATATGAGCCATAAAACCTGATGCATCAAACATGATACTCAAAGAAATGGTCACAAGTTACGGCAATAACTTCCATTCACGTATTCATTAGATATTTTAGCTCTGTTTTAATCTTAGATACTGATTCTAATTACATTTCCCATCAAAGCAACACTGTGCAGTGTCTCTCAGCAAAATGTATCTTGATTTTGTCTTTCTGAATATTACTTACTTTTTGTTATAAAACAGAGAGTTCCGGTCCTTGATTCTGATTGGCTGAGCCGCGTTCGAAGCTGTTGTAAATGACTCTACAAAGTAACATACACCTTTGTTTACGTTTGTGTGTTGCTCGGCAACCACTTTGTTGCAACCACAACTGATTCTGAGGAGCTACATTGTTTGGTGGAAGAATACTGTTTTTATTAATATCATTACACTTTATTTGCTCTGTTTTATTCTGTGAAACCTTACTACGTATATGGAATAACCGTTTTATAAAAGCAATAAGCCCCGTGAAGCCGTGGTTTACAGTGAATTTATAACAGCTAAGGGGTTTTAGGGGGTCTAACAAAGCCCTTAGCTGTTATAAATTCACTGTAAACCACGGCTTCTTGGGGCTTATTGCTTTATTTTAAACTCATGAAGATTCTAGACTTTTACAGTTTTGGTAACACTTTACAATATGGTCTTAAAAAAAAATATATTTTTTTTTTTACAATATTAACCTTTGTTAATGTTAGTTAATAAAATTGTCATATTAGTTCACAATGCACAAACTAATGTTAACGGATACAACTTTAGATCTTAAAAATGCGAAACCTGAGAAACCTGCAAATGTGAAAAAGGTCCATGGCTATGGAAGCATATAGGTAGCGAAATTCAATGTTCAAAATGGCAATGTATTTCTGTATTTAAATTTACATTTTCCATTACCCATACGTGCAAAGTTTGTTGCAAAAGGAAAAAGAAATTATATAATTTACATTTGCCATTTCCAACAGTAGTCTTAATATGTAAATTGCATGCAAATTTGAACGCTTTATAAGTTGCGAAATGAAAATGAAAATGTATAACACAAATTGATTTGATATGTGTAACATGTCCAAGCAGAAATGGTAGCAAAATGATCATTTAAATGCTATTTGTCGTAAATGCATTTAGACTAACAGTTAGAACACTTAGGATTGCATTTTCATCATGACGCCGTGGGATATTGGTTGAGTATTATTTTACGTATAAAATATCTTTATTGTAATGCTTGTAATGTCCATGTATAGTCTTTAGACAGCAGCTTGGCTCCTTACATGTTTAAAAACCAGCTAATTTCAAGACGCTGACGTCACGTGGGTCACCCGCAGTGTAAGACGCTCAAAGCTCAAGACGTTCGGTTTGACGTTCGATCGGTCATTTGAACGTTTGATTTTAACATGGAGAATATGAGGTGTGATTTATGCATTTACTTTGCTAACCATAGGAGAACGCTTCATATATTTCTCTGTTCACGCTCCACTTCATCTGCCAGTGAATTCCACGATCTTATCAGATCTCCAGCCGCCATGCGTCTATGTTCGCACGAATCATTCGTGATCCAGCCTCATCTACAGAAGTGAGTGTAAGGTTTTTTTTAACAAATCTTTGCAAAATGCCTTTCCTAATAATGTGCTAATTAGCAAGTTTCACGATGAATGCGGCTAAAGTAAACAGTCACTCAGAGAGCGGCTCAGAAGAGAGGGGCGGGGCCAGCAGAGCTCATTAACATTTAAAGGAAAATGCTAGAAATCTGCATGCTCTGAAAAGAGCTGTTTTTGACCGGGTTAAAAAGGTGCTTTTACACTACCATTGAGAAATTTTAACCAAACTATGTTACAGACTTTTCATTAAGACCCTAAAGAAATGGGCATCCTATGACCCCTTTAAAAACAGTAAGTGTTTGGGCCTTTCTAACATGTAAAGGCAAATTATTCCAAAGTCTAGGGCCCGCCACTGCAAACGCACGGTCACCCCTGTAAAATTATCATTTTGCTACCATTTCTGCTTGGACATGTTACACATATCAAATCAATTTGTGTTATACATTTTCATTTTCATTTCGCAACTTATAAAGCATTAAAATTTGTATGCAATTTACATATTAAGACTACTGTTGGAATTTTTTTTTTTAATTTTCCTTTTGCAACAAACTTTGCACGTATTGGGTAATGGAAAATGTAAATTTAAATACAGGAATACATTGCCATTTTGAATATTGCATTTTAAATTGAATTTCACTACCTATATGTTTCCATACATGGCAGGCTGAAGAAACCTGTACCTGGAGTAAATGACTGTGATTGTTCCTCAGGTGATCCACATGCGGCGTAACCTGGACCAGAGCGAGGCGGCCATCGTGCAGGTGTTCGAGGAGAAGCATTGCGTCTGGGAGCGAGACATGGAGGAGCTGAGGCAGAACTACGCCGGCCGTCTGCAGCAGGTGACCCACCGAGCCCAGCGCACACAGCAGGCCCTGCAGACCCACATCGCCCGTCTGCAGCAGGACAAGGGCCGGCTCCAGGAGGAGATCAGCGCTCTGCTCGCACAGAGAGAGGAGCTGGAGCACAAGTGTCTGGATTACCGCAAGGAGCAGGCGGATATACTGCCTCGCCTGGAGGAGACCAAGTGGGAGGTGAGAGGAGCAAAATAAAGGCTCCAAAATGTTGCATTTGTGGCTCCTCAAAGAGCCTTTCAGTGATCAGTTCTTAACCCATTCAATCCCACCGGTCACAATAGTGAGCGTAAAGATGGTTTGCATTTCTAAAGCTCTAAAAATTGACTGTCTGGTGTTTTAGTGCATTTTCTGCAAATATGAAGGGTCTCAATTAAATATGTGCAGTTTCACGTGTTTAGTGCAAATTGTCACACGACCAGAGCAGTTTATTAAATTCCTGTTTGCACTGCATGAGTATTTTTGTCTTGTATTCTAGTATAAATATCTAAACATTCTTGAATCAAGATGCATTTACTTGAGTCTTGTTTTCTAAAAATGTTGTTTAAAACGAGCAAACATATCTGCTAATGGGGTAAGAAAAATAATCTGAATTCAACAACTAAACAAGATTATTTTTCTTGCACCATTGGCAGATATTTTTGCTTGTTTTAGTGCACTGCCTTTTTTACAGAAAAGAAGACATAATATCTTAAATAATTTTACTTGTACAGTAAATTCATCTTGATTCAAGAATGTTTAGATATTTATACTAGAACACAAGACACTAACACTAAGTAAGATAATAATTTTTTGCACCTTGAGAAGATGATGGCTGCATCAAAGCTCCAAAACAAAAGGCTTGTAAAGTATGTTAACAAAGATATGACAAATATTTTTGGTACATGTTATCTTTAAGGTGTCTAGTATTAATATATGAATTCACATATATTTAGTTTTGTTGAGTGCGGACATAGAATGAGAAAATATGTTGATGGTCACAATAGTGACCACTGGGATAATAACAGTAGTATACCTATTCAGTGTTGTTTAAGGGTTTTAAAAAAAATGTATAATAGTAAGCATAGAATGTGATGAAACAGTTTACAATGGGTTAATAACTGGGCTGAGATATATAAGAATTTTGATGAATGCAGAAATAATTTCAGTATACACATTATCCCACCGGTCACAATTGTGACCAACCATAAAACACACACTTTTCCATAAAAATTAAATAAAAATAACAATTATTGATTATTTCAAGGGGTTACTAATGACACATCATTTTGATATCTTCATGTCTGAGAAATATTTGGGATTAAATAGGTTAAAATAACCTATTTTTATTCGGTTGAAGAACATTTTAAAAATCTAAAGAACCTTTTGTTCAATGTGAAGATTCGGTGGATGCTAAAGTTTCTTCATAAAACCATCAATGCCAAATAAAGAACCTTAATTTTTAAGAGTGCAACACAGACACCAATTCTTAAACTGGGGTTCAAATCTAATAATTCATTAAATCATAAAAATGTAACATTTAAATTGATCCTTTTTAAAATAAGAACAGTCAAAATAAAACACAAAAAAGTGAAAAACAAAAGCAAATGTGTTGATAAATTATTGAAATATGAACTTAAAGTCTCAGTGGGGCTGACAAAAACTAACAAACTGTGAATTCCTGCTCTAGAGATAAAAGAGCATAATTTATATAAAAACATCTGCTAAAGTTTTTATGGAAGTTTACTCTAACCTTATGTACCGGTTGTAGCCGGTCAAAAGTCTGAGTAATTAAGATTTGTTCATGTTTATGCTCACCCCAAGGCTGCATTTATTTAATTTAAATTAAATTAAAAACACAGCAATATTGTGAAATATTACTACAATTCAAAATACCCATTTTCTATTGCAACATATATACAGGTGTATAGTAAAATGTAGTGTTCATCTTTGATTAATAAAAGTATTAATTTCATAATAATCAGAAATGTTTCTTGAGCTGCAAATCAGCATATGAGCATGATTTCTGAAGAATTATGTGACACTGAAGACGGGAGTAATGATGCTGAAAATTCAGCTTTGATCACAGAAATAAATTACATTTTGCTATTTATACAACTAGAAAAAAGCTATTTTAAACGGTAATAATATTTCACATTTTTACTGTATTTTTTATCAAATAAATGCTGCCTTGGTGAGCAGAAAAGAAACAAATTTGAATGATTCCTAACTTTTAACCAGTAGTGTTTGTTATTCATTACACTTACTAAACTTTCTGGGAGTATTTCAAGCAAACAGTTTAAGTCTAGGGAGCTCCGGAACTGATAGAGCAACATACAGCAGACTAATCTAAAACAGCGCAGCCTATGAGACCCAGCAGTGATGGCTTTGGTTTGCTTCGTGTTGATCAGCTGTGTCAGAAAGCGGGCGAGATCTCTCTGCTGAAGCAGCAGCTGCGGGAGAGTCAGAACGAGGTTACGCAGCGTGCCGGAGAGATGGTGGCCCTCAGGGGTCAGCTGAAGGAGCTCAAGGGCCAGATGAAGGAGCGCGAGGAGACCGTGATCGGCCTGAAGGACTCGTACACCAGCAAGAGCCGCGAGCTGGAGAGATGTGAAGGAGAACTGAAGAGAACGCTGACAGAGGTGCGCAACATAAACACACACACTCATATCCAACGCACCACACTTATATGATCCTGACTAAAGTCGTATTTAATAATAACAAACAATAAAACTATTACTAATGCTGATGCATGAGGTTAGTGCTTTGCTGAAACCTCTAACAATAAGCATTAAAGTTGACTGTGTGTTTGTGCTTGAAGACTCAAATCAAAATTAGATTTTTGCATTAAAGTATGATTTGCGCACAAACTTTGTAAAACACAGTTCTTACTAAGCTTATTTGTTAAAGTAAACTGCCATGTATTTTTCTTCTTTTTCATTTCTCTATATATATACACAAATATACACTACCCGTGGAAGATTTGGAATAATTAGTATTTTTTAAGTCTGTAAGTCTCTTCTGCTCACTAAGACTGCATTTATTTGATCAACAAAATAAGTAAACAAATAAACAAAAAATACAGTAATATTGTGAAATATAATCGCAAATTAAAATGACTGTTTTCTATGTGAATATCTGTTAGGTATGACCGTGGTATAAGCGGGATAATGCATGGCTAGCTGTGCATTAAGCAATTTTAATGCACTTCGCGTTGTGTGGTTCTTGGCCTCCACGTCGTGCATTATCCCCAGAGGCAGACAAAGTACTCAACTCCATTACTTAAGTGAAAGTACAGATACTGCTGGTCAAATATTACTCCATTACAAGTAAAAGTTGTAAAGACATAGCTGTATAACTTTACAACAGCAGCACTTTAACAAAAAATCAAAACAGCAAGACTTATTTGACAGCAAAACAAACATTTTAAATGCTGTCTAATCGCTCTCGCTGTACTTTGATGCCACACACAGAATGGTCTGCAGTGCTGCTTCAAGTCCAGCACTTATTGTGTTTTATTAGGAGATGCACAACAGTTCTTCTGTGGCTTTATAGGTAATATTTTCACTTACACAATTTCCTTACTTAAAAAGAGGAAAGATGAGCAGTGAAATAATATTTATACATATGTATATATTTACATATATGTATTTATGTAAAATTATCGATTTTTCTTTTATGCCAAAATCATTAGGATATTACACTGCAAAAAATGATTCTCTTAGTGTTTGTGTCTTGCGTTCTAGCATAAATATCTAAACTTTCTTGAATCAAGATGCATTTACTTGACAAATAAAATTATTAAGATATTAAGTCTTGTTTTCTAAAAAAAAAAAAAAAAATCTAACAATTTTTTGCAATTGAGATTTATACATCATCTGAAAGCTGAATAAATAAGATTTCCATTGATGTATTGTTTGTTAGGATAGGACAATATTTGGCCGAGATACAACTATCTGAACATCTGGAATCTGAGAGTGCAAAAAAAAAAAAAAAATCTAAATTTTGTTTGTTAGTTTTTGCTTAAAACAATCAGAAATATCTGCCAATGGGGTAAGAAAAATAATCTTAATTCAACGGCTAAACAAGATTATTTTTCTTGCCCCATTGGCAGATATTTTTGCTTGTTTTGAGGAAAAACTAACAACATTTTTATACTTTTTTACAGAAAACAAGACTTAAGTGATTTTACTTGCACAGTAAATGCATCTTGATTCAAGAATGTTTAGATATTTATACTAGAACACAAGACACAAACACTAAGCAAGAGAATCATTTTTTGCAGTGCATTGGCTAATAATGAGCATGTTTTGCTCCGGTATCCACGAGAAACAGCTGTTGTTTGATTTTGTGCTCAGCAAGAAGATGTTTGAGCTTTAAAGATGATTTTCTCAATATTTAGATTTTTTGCACCCTCGGATTCCAGATTTCCAAATATTGTCCTATCCTAACAAACCATGCATCAATGGAAAGCTTATTTATTCAGCTTTATTCAGATGATGCATAAATCCCAGTTTTAAAAAATTGACCCTTATGACTGTTTTTGTGGTCAAGGGTCACATATGTGATTTTTAAATTAAATGTCATACTCAGCACATGCTGTGAGCGCTGGTTTGTTCTCTCCGCAGGTGTCGATGTTGCGTGACAAGCTGGTGGTGTTCGAGGCCGAGGTTCTGGGTCTCAAGCGGGCTCTGAGCGAGCTGAGCTGCAGGAGCGATCACGCCGTGTGTCTGAGGGACATCAGTGGCAGCAGCAGCTTACCGTGGGCCGGCCTGCACACGCCCCGCTCGCCCGAAGCCCTGCCCATCGACAGCTTCCTCAGCCTGCAGAGCGACGAGGCCAAAGCGCAGCGGCAGGAGGCGGGAGAGCTGCGGCGGCAGCTGGAGAGACTGCAGGGCGAGCTGCACCTGGAGCGGCAGCAGAGAGAGAGGCAGGGGCTCACCCTCGCTCAGGAGCGACACACCTGGCAGGGAGAAAAGGAGCGAGTGCTGAAGTACCAGGCGCAGCTGCAACTCAGCTACGTGGAGACGCTGCAGAGGAACCAGGCGCTGGAGGAGCGGGTCGGCCAGCTCGGAGCCAAACTGGGCACCTCGCCCGGATCACCCGTCAGCCTCTCCATCCCCGTTCTGGTGACCCTCACTCTGTCCCCAACCTTTATCATCAATGTTGAAAACAGTTGTGCTGCCCAATATTTTTGTGGAAACTGTCATACTATTTCATAGTTTGCAGGAAAATGTGACCACAAAACCAATGAATGAATTTCAATGAATTAGCTTTCCATTGATGTATGGTTTGTTAGGATAGGACAATATTTGGCTGAGATACAACTATTTGAAAATCTGGAATCTGAGGGTGCAAAAAAATCTAAATATTGAGAAAATCATCTTTAAAGTTGTCCAAATGAAGTTCTTAGCAATGCATATTACTAATCAAAAATTAAGTTTTGATATATTTACGGTAGGAAATGTACAAAATATCTTCAAGGATCATCATCTTTACTTAATATCCTAATGATTTTTGGCATAAAAGAGAAATGTATAATTTTGACCCATACAATGTATTGTTGGCTATTGCTACAAATATACCCCAGCGACTTAACACTGCTTTTGTGCTCCAGGGTCACATATTAAGAAGAAGAAAAAAAGAAATAAATTACTTTTATTCATCGAGGACACATTAAATTGGTCAAAAGTGACAGTGAAGACATTTATAATGTTACAAAAAATTATATTTCAAATAAATGCTGTTCTTTTGAACTTTCTGTTCATCCGTGAATCCTGAAAAATAAAATGCATCACGGTTTCCACAAAAATATTGTGCAGCACGACTGTTTTCAACATTGATAATAATCAGAAATGTTTCTCGAGCAGCAAATCAGCATATTAGAATGATTTCTGAAGATCATGTGACACTGAAGACTGGAGTAATGATGCTGAAAATACAGCTTTGATCACAGAAATAAATTACAGATTAACAGATATTCACATAGAAAACACCTGTTTTAAATTCTAATAATATTTTACATTTTTACTGTATTCTTGCAGGGCGAGAAAGAGCATGTGCTGAAGTATCAGGCGCTGGAGGAGCGGGTCGGAGCTAAACTGGGCCCCAGGCCCGGATCGCCCGTCGGTCTCTCCGTCCCTGTTCCGCTGACCGCCGATGATCCCAAACCGATCCTGCATCAGCTGGCGCCTCCGTGGCCCGGACCTACTCGCCTGGAGCGGATCGAGTCCACGGAGATTTAGACACGAGACAATCGACGCGAGACTGTTCTGTGTGAAGACTAAAGAGGGCCGAGATCAGCCTGTGTTACTGCAACACATGAAAGAATTACGCAGTTGGGAATTAAAAGTGATGCACATTTCTCCAGCTTTTAATCTTCTGAGATCTCTTTTGGTTATCAGTGATATGGAGGGGAAATGTTTCAGTAGTCTGTGTGGGCCGTATGGGACCGGTCAAAAGCTTTGGAATAATTACAATTAATGTTTTTGAAAGAAGTCTCTTCTGCTCACCAAATAGTGAAATGTGACCCTGCAGCACAAAAGCAGTGTTAAGTCGCTGGGGTATATTTGTAGCAATAGCCAACAATACATTGTATGAGTCAAAATTATACATTTCTCTTTTATGCCAAAAATCATTAGGATATTAAGTAAAGATCATGTTCCATGAAGATATTTAGTAAATTTCCTACCGTAAATATATCAAAACTTAATTTTTGATTAGTAATATGTATTGCTAAGAACTTCATTTGGACAACTTTAAAGATGATTTTCTCAATATTTTGATTTGATCCTAACAAACCATACATCAATGGAAAGCTTATTTATGCAGCTTTCAGATGATGTATTAATCTCAATTTTGGATGGTTTGGATTGCAACTTTTTTTCTGATGTTTCTGACTTTTTTCTTGCTATTTAGATTTTTTTCCTCTCGCGATAAAAAATAAAAGAAGATAATTGTGACTGTGTCACAATTTAGACATTTTTCCTTGCAATTCCAAGTTCGTATCTCATAATTAATTAATACTTTTTTCCTTAGAATTGAGATATAGAGTGAGATATAAATGCAAAATTCAGAATTGTGAGATAACATTTTGCAACTGTAGAAACAAGCTTCCATAGTTTTCTATTGTAATACATTTTAAATGTAATTTATTTTTTTCAGGATTCACAGATTAATAGGAATTTTAAAAGAACAGCATTTATTTGAAATAGAAATCTTTTGTAACACTATAAATGTCTTTACCCGCACTTCTGATCAAATTAAAGCATCCTTACTGAATAAAAGTATTAATTTATTTATATTTTTTACTCAAAATTTTTTTATGCATCACAGTTTCCACAAAAATATTGAGCAGCACGACTGTTTTCAACATTGATAATAATCAGAAATGTTTCTTGAGCAGCAAATCAGCATATTAGAATGATTTCTGAAGATCATGTGACACTGAAGACTGGAGTAATGATGCTGAAAATACAGCTGCGCATCACAGAAATAAATGACAGTTTAACAGATATTCACATAGAAAACAGCTATTTTAAATTCTAATAACATTTCACATTTTTACTGTATTTTTATCAAATAAATGCAGCCTTGGTGAGCAGAAGAGACTTCTTTCAAAGACATTTTAATTATTCCACACTTGTGTTGACTCACAGTGTGCATCACAGAGGGAGGTGTTTTGTACCTGAAGGAATCTGGTGTTGGTTCAGTGATGTTTTAATGTTTCAGGGATGGTGGGAGCATCAGTTCTAAACGTGAACAGCAGGGGTCATTACACTCTTAAAAATAAAGATGCTTCACGATGCCATAGAAGAACCTTTTTTGTCTAAATGGTTCCATAAAGAACCTTTAACATCTGTTTCACAAAAGCTTCTTTGTGGCAAAAGAAGGTTCTTCAGATTATAAAAAGCTAAGAAAGGTAAAGAACCTTTGACTCAATGGTTCTTTTGTGGAACCAAAAATGGTTCTTCTATAGCATCGCTGTGAAGAACCTTTTAAGCACCTTTATTTTGTCGTCGAGTGTAGACGACAAACGGAGGGCTCCTATCTGCAGGTAGAATTACCAGAAAAGCTGTTTCTGTCTCAGTTTTTTTAATTTGGCTGAAATTAAAACCGAACTGAACTTGCTTTCCTTATTCTACAGTGAGGTTCTGGAAGGTTCTGAGAGTTGCTGCTATGTTCTGATGTGATGTGTGTTGTGGGTAGACAGGCAGGCTGTGAATATGATGGTTATTTATGTGAAATCGTTATTTCCAGTATACCAACATATTGCGTGTGACTATTTTGAGAAGATGAAAATTATTATGTCATCATTCTGATTATTGTGAATAAAGCCGATATTTTAGCTTTGTTTTTCTGTAACATGACATGTAACACTTTTCACCGATGAAATGCTTCGAATGCATCAATGATTTCCAAAACCATATTCCTTTTGATGTAGTTCTGATGTAATTAATTGATTTGATGATGTAATTAATTGATTTAGAGATCAAATGCTATGTTTTTATACTTCTATTGTTTGTATTTATGTTACTGTAATGATTTGCGTAAAAGCATATCCGATCAAAAACACATTAAATGATAAAGACACAAATCAATCAGCATAGTCCTCTTTGAGATGTTTGATACAAAACATTGGTAGGGACATGTCATAGTATCTCTACTCAATTCTACACCCTTGAAAATCATAGCAAGCGATGACTTTGTAAATTATAGTTCTCTCCTTAAATATGAAGAGCTCTAACAGCAGATTAATTAATTAATCCAAATTTCACAAAAAGTCAAGACACTGAAGTGGGTTGCTGTTTTTGTCTCTTCTGAGGAAGATTCATTCACTTGTTTTGTTCCCACATCAGATTTATTTAATGTTCATCTTATTATCATAATGTTTCTGTTTTAAAGATGATTTCTTTGGATTGTTTTACTATTTTAGGAAGATAGAACGTAAGTTGTGTTTCCTGCTAGTTAAATTTCACATACATAAACAAAAATCTGGCTATAAACCTCTCTTTTCTTTAATCAAAGTTGATCTAGACACGTACATGCAAACTATCTAAAGTTCTGTTAATCCTAACTGCATCTCTATAATATTCATCTTATGTGTTCTCTTAAGGTGAAAAAAAGGTTATTATAGGCCTAGTTAAACCATGGTAAGTACAAAAGTCCCGATCTGAATCAAAAGATACATGAACTCGCTCCGATGTTCCGATATAAATCAGATGACTGGCGAACCCGCACCAAAGTCCCAATCTGAAACAAATGATTCTCAATACACGCTCCGAAGTTCCGATCTGAATCAAAAGATCCATGAACTCACTCCAAAGTCCCGATCTGAAACAAATGATTCGTAAACCCGCACCGAAGTCCCGATCTGAATCAAATGATTCGCAAACCCCCACCGAAGTCCCAATCTGAATCAAATGATTCGTGAACCTGCACCGAAGTCCCAATCTGAATCAAATGATTTGCGAACCCGCACCGAAGTCCCGATCTGAATCAAATGATTTGCGAACCCGCACCGAAGTCCCGATCTGAATCAAATGATTCTCAATACACGCTCAGAAGTTCCGATCTGAATCAAAAGATCCACAAACTCGCTCTGAAGTACCGATCTGAAACAAATGGTTCGTGAACCCACACCGAAGTCCCGATCTGAAACAAATGATTCGTGAACCCGCACCGAAGTCCCGATCTGAATCAAATGATTCGTAAACCCCCACCGAAGTCCCGATCTGAATCAAATGATTCGCAAACCCCCACCGAAGTCCCAATCTGAATCAAATAATTCGTGAACCCGCACCGAAGTCCCAATCTGAAACAAATGATTCGCGAACCGGCACCGAAGTCCCGATCTGAATCAAATGATTTGCGAACCCACACCGAAGTCCCGATCTGAATCAAATAATTTGCGAACCCGCACCGAAGTTCCGATCTGAATCAAATGATCCACGAACTCACTCCGAAGTCCCGATCTGAATCAAATGATTCTCAATACACGCTCCGAAGTTCCGATCTGAATCAAAAGATCCACGAACTCACTCCCAAGTCCCGATATAAATCAAAGGATTCGCGATTGAATCAAATGATTTGCGAACCCGCCCCGAAGTCTCGATCTGAATCAAATAATTTGCGAACCCGCACTGAATTTCTGATCTGAATCAAATTATTCTCAATACACGCTCCGAAGTTCCGATCTGAATCAAAAGATCCATGAACTCACTCCCAAGTCCCGATATAAATCAAAGGATTCGCGATATGCACTCCGAAGTTCCGATCTCAATCAAATGAATCACGATCCGAAGTTCCGATTTTTAATCAAATGGTTTGCAAACCCGCTACGAAGTCCCGATCTAAATCAAATGATTCTCGATACACACTCTGAAGTTCCGATCTGAATCAAATGATTCACGATACTCGCTCCGAAGTCCCAATCTGAATCAAATAATTTGCGAACCCGCACCGAAGTCCCGATCTGAATCAAATGATGAGCAATACACGCTCCGAAGTACCAATCTAAATCAAATGATGCGCGCGATACATGCTCCGAAGTTCCGATCTTATTTAAAAGATTCACAAACTCGCTCCGAATTTCCGATATAAATCATGATTTGCGATATATGATTTGAAGTCCCGATCTGAATCAAATAATTTGTGAACCCGCTCTGAAACCCCAATCTAAATTAAATGATTCTCGAAGTCCCTATCTGAATCAAATGATTCGCGATACCCGATCCGATTGGAGCGTTTCGAAACAGTGATTTTGCGACACAATGGTTTAACTGATTCGGGTTTTAAAATGCTCCGTTTCATCCATCACTACGTGCTTTTTAAAATCATTAAAAGTGATGTTGAAATTCGAAAATTAATCATTTTGATCTGGTTTGTGCTAGTGAATCGTGTGAACTGATCTGATCGAATTTACGGGTTTGAATCAATCGGAGCGGTTCCAGTGTAAATGACTCACTCAAGTGAATCGGTTTGTCTGTTCCTCCTCTTTTTGTGTCTTAATTCAGCCAAGTTTACTCGTCACTGTCAGTAATACTACTGAGTTAATTCGATAGTTTTATGACATTAACTTAAAAAAGCGTAAAAAGTATTTATAAATAAAATATCCATATTTCCATTCCAAAGATAACATTCAACACAAATCTACGCACATATCCAGGTGAGGTATTATTTCCCATGAAAACAACATGTAACAGCAGAGAAACCTTCAGAAATCATTCTAATATGCTGATTAGCTGCTCAAGAAACTTAATTATCATCATATTTTTGCTGCATATGTTTGTGGAATTTCTTCAAAATTTTTGAGCAATATTTCAAAAATAGCCTATATACTTTTATTCATCAAGGATGCATTAAATTAATCAGTAAAGACATTTATAATGTTACAAAAGATTTCCATTTCAAATTAATGCTGTTCTTTTTAAATTTCTGTTCATCAAAGAACCCTGAAAAATCAAATGTATCACGTCTACTAACAATATTTAATAATT